CCTAGCCGTGACTCTGCGCCCCCTCCTGACTGCCGCTTGGGGGCAGGCGTCACCGCTCCTGCGTCCTGGCTCTGTCCTCTGTGTACCCTTTCCTTCGACCCCAGCTCCCATCTTGATGTCACCCCCCTGGATACTGCTTTGTGCTGTATTGTTCCCCCCGTGCTGTGGAGACCAGCAAATCACTACCCTTAGATCTGGTTCCTCCTTCTGGTCCTGACCGTGCTCCAGGGCCTGGCAGTGCCCCTGGTTCTAAGCTTGCCTCTGGGGATTGCCTCCAGCCTTTGGCTGTTTCCACCCTGGGGTTCGCCGTGCTCTGCCTTTCCGGGTTTGGTTTCTGCTCACAGGGGTTTGTCCTGGTGCTTCCCACAGGAGCCCCAGGATGGCATAGATTCCCTGCCGTCTTCCTTCGCTCCCTTGGCTACACCTCTGGTCCAGGCTCTACTTAGAATTCTCCCTTCTCCACCCCAAGGTTGGGTCCTTGTTCTGCTGCCCAGGCTCGGCCCTAGTTCCATCTCCTGGCTCTAGTTTTTGCCCTGCCTGTTCCTGGGGTCAGCTCCTTGCTCTCAGCTAGATTTTGCTTGAGTCTAGCTGTACCCTTAGGATAGGTTTTGCTTCCTTTTGTTTTTCCCATTCTGCTTATACGACCTACGTGTTCCTGGGCTCTGAGGACTCCCGATGGTCTCTTCTGCAGGCCCCAAATGACATTCTCTCCTGACCCAAGGAGATCCTCCTTCCCACCCTCTGGGCCAACGTGGTCTCTCCTCCTGACATTCCAGACCTCAAGGCAGGCACTTTGGGCTCAATTCAGCCCTGCCTTGGTGCTCTGGGCACTAGATGACACCATTTTGCAGATGAGAACTACATGCGTGGATTTCATGATGTTGGTTCCTGGATGCTAAAAGGACTTGGATTTCGGATTCCGCTCAGACTGGGATTAGCAGCCTGTTTCTGCTCCTTCTCACCTGCTCCCTCTGCTGGTCCCAGTTCCAGTCCCTCAGTCACATTCATATTTACCCTCCTCCCCCTTTTCCCAACTTGAAGCTGAGATCTGAGCCCCCAGAGTGAAGTGTGGAGGAGCTCTCCATACTAGTCTCATGAAAACTCTCGACATTGACCCCTACGGTCAGTTCCTATTGTCTCCCCAGCTAAGCTGGGGGCAGGTTGTTTGGTGTTTTCTCTGAGAACAGGGGCCCCACCACCACCACTGATGGTTGGGAAATCGGGATCCCCAGTGTTTTGCCCTAGTTCTGTATTTGTATTTCATCAATTCGACACATTTTTGGGGGTATCCAGCTTGTGCTGGGGGCACAACAGCCAGTTCTTGCCTTCACAGAGCTCACAGTCCAGTGGGCGAGACAGGCCGCAATAAAATGTTCTCATAAATAGTTCTAGTAATTGTAATTTATAGTTTAGATAGGATTTCCCCAGGACTATGATTAGAAGCATGAAGACGTATAGGTGCTTTATGCAGGTATAGTGGGTATCTGGCCTCATCTGGGGGAGGGAGGAAGAAGTGATGAGAAGATGGAGCTGAGCTCGGAAGGTGTAAATAGGTGAAATTGGAGAGGGGCAGAAAAGAGTTGCAGGCAGGGGGACCAGAATATGTAAAGCCTATAAGACAGGGAGCATAACCTATAAGGAGGAACCCCCCCCAAAGTCCATTATAATCTTTTGGAGGCTGGGCGCCTTGTATAGGCTTCCCCCACTAGGAAAAGTGTTCTAGGAAACCATCAGCATCAGTGTACCAGCCAGCCTGTGAGAGGCTGCGTTCAGCTTCAGGGAATCGTTAAATATTCTTTCAACACATCTGCCAATTTCATGATGGGTTGATTTGCAAGCACACCTGCCCACACCATACTGTGTTCAGCGGTTTTTGACCCCCAAATGGTATGGCCCCCATGCCCTACCCTCAAGCGACTTTTTTTTTGTTGTTTCCCAAGATGAAAAAAGTTCTCAAAGGGAAACATTTTGCTGATGTGGAAGAGGTGAAAAACAAAAAACAGAAGCACTAAAAGGCATCGAAGTTGATGAGTTCAAAAATGGTTTTGAGCCGTGGAAAAAGCATCTTGATAGGTGTATGGAGGGTATTTTGAAAGTGACTCAAGTTTAAACCTGTAAGAATAAGTACACGATTTTATTTTGAGTCGGAGTTTCACTCTGTCACGTGGGCTGGAGAGCAATGGTACGATTATGGCTCACCGCAGCCTCAACCTGCTGAGCTCAGGCGATCCTTCCGCCTCAGCCTTCCAAGTAGCTGGAACTACAGGCATGTGCCACCATGCCCGGCTAATATTCTGATTTATTGAAGAGATGAGGTCTCGCCAAGTTGCCCAGGCTGGTCTCCAACCCCTGGGCTCAGGCAATCCTCTCACCTCTGCCTCCCAAAGTGTTGGGCCAGGCCAAATACACAATTTTTAATAAATTCTGGGGTTTTTTTGGGGGGGTTACCCCTTGTGTTTAAGTAACAGAGAAGGGTAACTTCTGCTTTCTATTTGGAGTGGAGAGAGCAGGGGAGGTAGAGGGAGGTAACATACCAGCAGGGGGCCAGGTGAAGGTGGACTCTTAAGCCAGGTAGATTCTTGGTCTTTATTGAACAACCAGTAAGCAGGAATGATGTCACTAGGTGTACATTTTGCGAAGGAGATGCTGAGATGAGTGCTTCTGCAATGTGGTTGTCTCTGAAAAATGCCCAGAAATTCTGGTTTAAAATCAACAAGCCATTTTCAGTGTACAGTTGAGCTCAGAAAAGAACATGGGAAAAAACCTGCTGGACTAGGACTGTGGACATAGCTTCAACTCACAGTTTCCCTGACAAGATTTGCTAGTATAGAGACCTAGGGCCTGGGTTTTTTTTTTGTTTGTTTGTTTGTTTGTTTTTAGTTGGAGTCTCATTCTGTCGCCCAGACTGGAGTGCAGTGGTTGCTCTTGGCCACTGCAGCCTCGACCTGCTGGGGCTCCGGCGATCCTTCCGCCTCAGCCTTCCAAG